AAAAGTTCATTTAACAACCGCCTTCGTTCCGTAATGTGGTGCTCTACTTTCCTGCTACGGTTGTGAAGTGCAGAGTCGCGGATAAGTCTCAACTCCAGGAGTTCAACATCTATCTTTTTAGGAGGTGGTAGTAATCTGTCAATTCGTCCGTTTTTGATTCCGTTTTTCGGAAAGATATCACAGTCATTTTACCGTTTTCGCTGTTTTAACGGTAAATGAACTCTAATGTGAGCAAACACGTCACACTCAGCTGCTGATTTCACATTTTGATTTAACTTAATCGTCACCTCGTGACTTACGATGACCTTTATACTAAACTCAGGAGTGCCATTTTTCTTCGCGTGATTCACTGTTTCTTCATATCTTCCGAGCCAAATTCGGTCATGACTGTTGCCGCAGCAGTTTTTCAATCTATTTGGAAAATAACTGATTGCTAGCACGATTCGATAATTTCCTTAAGTTAAGCGTTTGCACCTTTCGCAAAGTGTAAGTGTGCGTCGCTTTGTCATGGAACGTTATGTTTATTGAACCTGCTAGCACTATTTGCACAATTGGTATTTGCACTATAAGGCATCTCAACTGGCCATTGGGTTAAAACTTCCATTACCCTGCAAAATAAACGTAGGGCTCCGATGTCGCTTTAACTCAATTTTTCGCTTTTGATTAATACGGCCTCGTAAAAATTTACAAGTAGTGCACATATCAAAGAAAGCGTTGGTGTTTCCTTCAAGTTTCAGTATTCGAAAGGAGGTGCCGATATTTCGTACTACTGACGACAAATGAGGTCCTCGAATCTCATATGCATTAGTAGGGTTACCAGCAGTTGTGGAACGAAACATTTGGGCATTTTGAGGGATGATTTACAATTATCCTGTTGATTCGAGTTCTCACCATTTTTGTGTCTGTCTAGGCTTCCTCATAGTCACATCTTTCAGTGCTTACTCAATTTCTTGCCAAGGTTTTTGTTCTCGAATACGCTAATTTGGGTACTGACACGCGCTTTAATTTAGCTATCGTTATGGTGATTTTTTTGACACGAAAATCGCCAACTATGTTTTACTGCACTCACGAGATATGATTTACCCAACGACGTGTACACATTTCACTCCCTGGACGCTTAGAGCAAAATTTTATGACGAATGCTTCATCTTCGTAAAACGAGTTAGGCAGCAATTTTAACGCACTTTGATCGAGGAAACAAGATAGAAAGCATAATTATAGTTTGTAATAAATGACTGCTTGCTAACGAATCATCAAGACTTAGTGACAGCACCATTTTAGAAGCGATAGAATCCTATTTCGCCCAACTATTCCGATTTCACCCTTGACTCCTTTTTCTGCTCAGGCCTTCCCATAGGTTTAAACCAGTCTCGCTTTAATGCATGTTGCCTCTTCTTTTCTCTAGGTAAAAGCGTACATTCAAGAAGACACTGGTTTTGTATGCGGCGGCAACCGTCACAATTGCGGCACCTGGATGGATAAGATGGGAAGCTCAGATAAAGCTGGCAACCGGGGTAAGCCAGCAACACCGCGTGATGGCTGTGCGGTGGAGTTGACAGGCTTGGCCTACGCAGTAATAAAGTGGTTGGAACGGGCGCACAATATGGGAGGCAGCACGTACTATCCCTACGATGGTGTGAACGCTCCGCCCCACACCACCACTGCTACTCCGAGATGGACCTGGGGCGACTGGGCTGCCAAGATAAAAAACAATTTTGAGACTCGATTTTGGCTACCCGAGAGGAGCAAGGACGGGGACACCTGTGGGCAGATTGATATTCGCCAAGGTTACTATCGTGATATCTGTGACTGCTCGGATCCAAATGCGGAGCTACAACTGAGACCAAATTTCCTAGTAGCCATGACTGTGGTACGGGGTTGACTTTTCTTTCTTGATCATTAGGACGCGTTCTTCTGCTGTTTTAGCAATTCATGTTGTTAACTTGCATGCGCTAATTAAGTGTTCCAAACTCTGCAACGCAAAACGTGAGCTGATGCTTTGGTTTTGTTTTCAGCTGAGGTTGTCAGAAATAACTAACGAGTTGCATAAATTGCAAAAATTTGAAGAGGATTTTCACAGTCTCAAAGCTTTAGAAGTTCTTATGTACCTTTTGTTTCCAGTCAAAGTTTTGATTGCTCATTAGACCAACCGTCTTTAGATTGGCATCTGAGCGTTTTTTGCCTTTACAAAAAATAGACAGTAAGTTAACCTTTAATCCAAGCGTCAGGTATTGGGAATGCCTAAGGAAGTCTTAATCTTCTGAACGCATGCAAAGTAATGGATTTTTTGTTTCATATTGTACTCGAGCCAATCGTCAAACAAGTGTGCTCTTTTGTGCATTTATCTCACTTTATTATTGCAGGCACCGGATCTGTTTAACCCTAGGAATGCTTGGAAGGCTCTGGAGATAACAAAAAAACAGTTATTGGGTCCCTTGGGTATGAAGACGCTGGATCCGCGCGACAAAGATTATCGCTGCGCCTACAACAACAGTGACGATAGCTACGACTACTCCATTGCACACGGATTCAACTACCATCAAGTTAGTGGAAGTGGGCCCATAAAATGGCGGATTTGTTTTAAATTTCTCTCCCGATATCTTAATTTCTAAGCTAACATTTGGGCTACTTATTGTTATTGAAAATTAGGGTTGTCTATCGGATAAATTTCCGAAGCAGTTAGTGAATTATGGCCAGAAAATTAAGTTGTTTCCCTCAAAATGCTACCTCAATCATTTGTGCGACCAATATCACAGGAACCCAATTGAGTGATGGACGGAAGTATTGTATTTCTCTTAAATGACTTCATTTCCATCCTCAAGGTGAGTTGAAATTTAAACTTAGCTTGGAGAATTAAATTGGATTTTGCATTCGCAAATATATTTGAACATTCGCGGTCCTGAAAAATAAATTCATGTGTTTTGGTGTTCTGGGTCATAGCCATGCAAACCTTGCGGCGAAGTGATTATCCTAAAGGTTCTTAAACATATCCTCTCATGGTAACGCTAAGCTTTTTTTGCTCACGTACAGGCTGTTTGCAATTTCGAAGGAAATGTTGACGAATTTGGACAAAACTGAAGTTAAATTTTATTAGAAAATGAATTCGTAGTTGATAGTTTACTTCAGTTGAAAGCAATGCTATATGAAATGAGTTTGAAGGCGAGCTCCTACGGATTGACGGATCCGAGAGCTTCTTATGTAGGACGGTTTGATCATAATTTTTGTCTGTAATTTTCAATTATCTTAGTGCGGCGTAGATTGTAAATATCCTCCCTTATCTGAAAATAGGCGATTATTATGCGCTTTTTAGCCATAGCTACGTTTACGACCACAGTTTTCGGAAAGCTTATCCCAAATTACCTAGAGGTTATCTTGAGGGTACGCTTATAGGTGTTTCCTTTTTCTAGAATCCAACCCTTCATACTTCACAATACTCTTTATAAGTCTTCATTGATAAACAATTTTTTGTTGGCATCATCGTCAATTTATCACCTTTAAATGAACTTGCGCATCATTTCACGGATAACCTGGTGTTCCAGGCCACGTGCGTTTCAAGAAAAGTTCTCCCAACCTGGCGGCGGCACTAAAACTCATATTTATTGGGATGTTCCAATTAAAACAAGCTTTTCTAATTTTTATTTCAAAGGCCACACTGGATACATACTTCATGCTACTGGTTCAAAGGTGGTTACGTCTCGAAATCGTTTGCAAGTCATCAGCAATCTTTATCACGCTCATGCTCATCAAAGTGTATACCTTGGTCGGAATTTATTTAAACATGGGGGTTAATAATGGTCTTTTGGAACGCATGTCCGCCATAATAGAATGAACGTACATCTGTAGAAAAGTGGAAATTGCATTGCAATCATATCTATAGTCTATAACTACAATTGGTCGAGTTATTTGTTAATGCTTTCAATGACTTGAGGCTTACGCAACGAATTAAGATTAAATATTTGACCCACGATTTCCAAAAACAATCTGCTTAAAGTATGAATAATTATTTGACCGCTTATTCGCATTTTCAGTTCCGAGTAAAACTAGCGCCAAGTAATTGGAATACTACTGGCCACATGTCGTGAGAGTGCTGATTTTGTACAGTTTTACCTTTTATGTTTTCGATTGCCATCTAGACTCTAAGAGTGATAGGAAACAGCGTATTATTGCAGTACTGGTTGAAAGGCATTGTTAGCCCGAAATGGTGCCCCTCAAAATTTGTTGCACTCTACTTACACTTTAAATCTCTTTTAACCAGGACATCATGATGGCGAGAAAACCGAACCATACCAGTTGCAGCAAGGTAGTGGCCTTGTTTGTTGCTTTGTTCATAATCGTTCTGCATACAATCAGGATGTTAAAATCGACTGTTTTTGGCCTTCCGAATCACTATGTTTGCCTCCATGTAGTAAACTCAAATTTTTAACAATCGGTTACCGAAGTAAAGCAAACGCCGGCTGCATCCGCTGTAACTCATTTCACAAAGGTCTTGAACTTCCACAAGCCAAAGTTCTGGGTATTCGCTTAGACCTCGACTTTTTTCAAGCGCAGGATGGATAGAATCGTTGCCAGCTAAACGCCTTTCAATTTTCTAGGATTACAAAATTAAGTTTCTGTATTGTGAAGGTTGTCTTCTCTAATCGGTGCTTCAACCTCTGAAAGGCTGAGGAAAATTCGATATCTTTCTGCCATTTCGCAGGGACCCGAATGGCTCTGGCTGACGGGTTACTACATTCGCTCCAGACTAGTCATGGCGCAGCGCCTGACAGACTTGGATCCTTCAATGGCTTCGATTCGAGCGCATGTCGTGCGTGAGAGCCAGGAGATTCTTTTGCGTCTCAACAACCATATCAGAGCCTCACCATGGAGGTCGCTGCCTGAATTAACTCAGGTCAACGGAGAGGTGAGCTGATAATCCCACTTAGTCCCTATTTTTGCGTTGAACGAACTAGCTGACTTAAGAAATATTATTGTATCCTTTTGGTGTTTTGGTTGTTCAGACACCTTCAGGTGCTATGAAACAGTAAGTAAAACCAATGTTATCGTGAACAGGGTCTTGACTGAAATGCAGAAACTAGGTTCATCTGATAAGTAATGCATACGATTAAACACCTTTCTAAAGTGTATTTATTCTACAAACTCAAGGTCAGTAAATAAAAAATACTGTTGCATTTATTATGTTTCTCATTTTCTAATTTCCTTACGGTGGCCGAGCAATCGAATTTCTATCTTTTTTGGAGCTTAGAGGGACACCTGTATGCATTCAAAGCATGCGAAAGCGTTGGGAGGCCAATAACCTGTGTATTTGTGCCGGTATCATTTAGGCTTAGTTCCAGGACACTGAAAAGATCAATGCGGTTGTGCGTTGCAATGATTTGAAACTCAGCTGTTTGCTAAAGCTGTTAAACGATGTGGTGGTACGGTTTTTTTTGCAGTTCTGTCCGGGTAGTTGTGCTTCTCAAGCGTGGAGCGTCGGCACAGCAATTGAAGCTATCTACGATCTCCTCGAGACCAACGCCCGTATGCATGGTTTTCCGTTCCCTCCGGCCTAACAAACGTTTCCCAATTTTTTCTCCATGTTCTCTTTCCTCTCGAATCGTCTTGATTTGAGATTTATTCTCAGTTTTTCTCTTGTTTTGATTCTTGTTCTCGTTTTGACTGCGTTCCCCTTGCCATTTGTATCGCAGACTTTTACACATATTTATCAGTTATAAATTTTGCAACTGACTAGCCATACTCATGCCTGCAGCCGAATTAAGCAATCCACCTCGTGCAAAGACTGTCGTCGTGAAGGATCGGCAGTCAAGTGAGACAGCGAGCGTGGTGCTCTCTGCACAGCAAGTCTACTTGGGTGGACCGCGCATTACCGACCCTGCACTCTTCGCTGCAGGGAGTCAAGGTGCCGCATCAGTTCGGGTGGCTGTCTACAACGACCAATTAAGAATTCTATGCAATGTCAGCTGAGGCATGCAGGTTAAAATGATGAGACTAACCATGATGATAATGTCTTTCATTGATTTCCTTTCATTTCCTCGCTTATCAGCTCCCTCTTACCCCCTCTATGCTCATATCTACCTATTTGCCAACTCTCCCCGCTCCATTTAGATGACTTCGCCCTTACGCGACTTCATGGAATGAAAAGAATGCTTTCATTTAATAGAAAAACGACCTACTGAGGTAATGTTTGGGGATGGTAGTATAAAGGCGGAAATATAGATGTCCC